TAAAAAATTAAAAGCTGTTATCACCTTTTTTCTTATGTGTTGCTGCTAATTTATCCAAATCCACTCCCTCGTCTTCTTCATTATCAATATCTTTAAAACTGTCCTTCTGAAACCACAATTCAGCCTTCATTGACCTTCTTGATACAGGATCAGTGTCATCTAAGTCTGTGAGTAAAGGGTTCTTCTTGGCTTTAGCTGGTGTCGCTTTTAATTTACTATTCCTTAATGTGTTAAGCTTTGTAAGTTTGTCAATGTCCTTAGATTCATTTTCGGAATCTGAAAAACCTTAAACAAAAAAGTAATTGGGTGTATTGGAATGTCAATAACATTTTTTAAATCTATACATATAAAAAACTTCAAGAGAATTCATATATAACCCTATACTATATACATATATAGAGATGCCAGAGATTTTCATAAAAACTAATGATTTTAAAATGAGGACTTGGTTTTGATTTTCGTTATTGAAACAAATGTTTTAAATAAACTATTTACCTAAAGATTGCTTATCTTCATGGTCTGAGTCACTCTCCATTTCAAGCTCACTGTCAGAGTCTTTATAGAAGAGTCCTGATGAGTCAAGCTTAGAGTCCTCCACATCATACTTCATGTATTTTTGTTTTACTTTCCCTTCATCATCAGAATCACTGGCCTCGGCCACAATGTCCGGAGCTTGATCAATAACCATATTTAATTGCTGAAATTGATCGATTATTATATATTATATCATTTCTATTTATTACAACGATATATTAATATTTACCTGGTATCAAATAACTTAACCTTAATTATGATATGATATAGATTCTGTAAATATGGGATTAAAGTGACAAAACTAAAGAGGTATCTTATTAAACTATAAAGATAACACAATATCTATTTTTACTAAAACCACTAAAAATATGTTCTCAAATAACCCACTTTTTATAATTAACTTAATTTTGCATTGCCTTAGATTTTAATAGTTCAAAACATATAAACTTATTCAATACAAACTTAACATCCTTAATATCAGATAACCTGAACATATCATTGCTCTCCAATATTGGGCCATCATCGCCTTTTAGTACCATTTTTAGATTCATCTTTTCAGCCAATTTCTGTCTTTGTTTATTTAATTGCTTTCGTTTTCTTTTCAATAGCCGTTTTTCTTCATCCTTTGTAAATAAATAAGCATAACAAAATTTTTACAGAATATTTTCATAAATATCTATGTTATTTTTTCTATATTTTATATATAGCTATGTTTTTTTTTCTTTAAACCATAATAATTATTATTATAACCTGCAAGGGGTTAGTGGTACCTGTAACTCAGCCACTTCATCATCAATAGTTTCTTCCTCTTTATCAGCTTCATCTTTGTCTTCCTCCTTCTCATCAACATCTGCCTTTTCCTATAATTAAATTTGGTTTTGGTGTATATCATTAAACTAAGAATATTATCATTAACTAAGATAATATTTTATGTTTATCTAATGTAAATAAATAATTGGGCCAACTTACCTCAGTGGGTTCTTTAGTTTTTTTAGATTCTTTAATATGCTTCAACCAATTCAATATTGCTTTTACATCTTTTCGTCCCAATACTTTTATGTCTTTGCAGCACTCCTTTATCTCTTTTGTAGTTTTGGGATGATTATGCACATCTTCATCATCAATGACAATCTAAAAATAACTCTGATTAATAAACTGCATACTAGATGCATAGAAATTATAATAGTGAATAATTTATTAATAAATTTAATAAATGAAAGTATTACCTCTGAACATTCTTGGAGTAAGTCAATTGGATCTTCTTTAGCCAGAAATTCAGACAGCATGACTTTATGATGTGTTGTGTAATCATTTTCTTTATAACCCTCTGCTTTTGCTTTCTTTTGTTTTTCAGGGTGCAAGATATTGTTGTGTGTTTTCTTTACTATTTCTAAGTCTTCAAACACATATTTAGCATCTAGCAATTTCGGATCAATGCTATCGGGAGCAATGTACCCTTGACAAACCACAAATATTTCTGAAGACTCGTTACGAGAAGCTTGAGGTTTTGTTGCGTGAACTTTTTTAAAAAATTGTTTTAATACCCACAAAAGAGCATGATAATCTTTTGATCTAAATACTTTCGTGACAAACCATCCACCCTGTCGCAAGAAATTTGTGGCTAATTTGAGTGCACTAAGAGTAAGACAAGCCTGCTGGTATGCATCATGAATCCAATTTAAACCAACATTAGGGAGCACCATCATTCAATACTACATCTGCTTTCCAAGTTTTGATTTCCTTTTTTATAGCTGTTTTACACTTTTCAGTTGTAATGTCTTCTGTAATACTTATGCAGCCTGGAATAGGCTTTATTGGAAACAAGTCTATACCTATGACAATACTTGAAAGAGGCATGTTTTGGTGAGCCACCTGCATCCACCCACCTGGAGCTGCACATAAGTCTATGCATATTCGTGATTTTTGAAGGAAACCAAACTTTCGATTTAACTGGATTAATTTGAACGCCGCGCGTGAACGAAACCCTAATGAAAAAAAAATACAAATAGTAGAAAACAGTTAATAGAATTTATTAGATGCTAGTAATACCGATGTAGCATGGTATATTCATTTCGATGACCACGAACGGTGAAACTTACCAGTTTCCTTCGCAAGCTGATAATATTTATCTTTCCTTTGCTTTCCTACTTTTGTTTTCTTTCCCATTTTCGTGAATGTTATCTCACCATTACAAAAAGTAAGGTTACCTCACGCAGTGTACATACGACATAAAATGACAACCTCATTAGGTTAATAACTTAATAGGTTATTGTATATTGTAGTCTTTGATGACATCTGACACATAAAAAACCTCTCAAATTGTGTATATATTAACAATATCAAACGTGGCTTTCGTATCATTCATTTAATCATTAATGTTTAATCTATTAGGTATATGTACAATACAGTATATTTCATTATTCTTTTACATGTCCCTTCTCTTTGTCCGTATCTTATAGTATTCTGGCCTATCCTACAGCTGTGGTGAGAATCGAAGAACAATTACGCATGCCTGGCGGCGTTTTGACATCATGTTAAAAGTATACGTGGCTTTTAGCGTCAGTTGTCAGCGTCAACTGTCAATTCTCAAATATCTTAATTCTTAGGTGAAATCCTTTGTAATTTTGTTTTTCAAAGTCTGTGTGAAGTGTGAACAAGAATACTGGTGCGCGATTCTAAAAATAAACTCTATAAATTACGTACCTATTGACATTCTTACTCAGGAATTGAACTACTTGCTTTAATTTAATAATTTTTACTCTCCATAAATAATTCTGCAAAATGGCTCCAAATATACAAACGTTTATAAATTCCTTCCAAAATCGCTTGTAAGTATAATTATTTTTCTTATAATGTAATAAGGTAGATTAGCATTTTAAATGTGTATAAATTTTATATTTAAGTTAATGTTGACCTCGAGTTTTTCTTAAGCATGATACTTACATATCGAACGTAAATTCAAATTGCGTAGCGTAAGAATTATTACATACAACTTACGCCATTATTCTAGAACATTTTACACGATAGGTGATACCTATTATGCATAAAATGATAAAAACAACTCTTAATTATGTGTTAATTTGCCCTTATACCTAAGATTACCTAACTCTCTATTCTTATTTAAAAGGGAGCCCCCAGTTCGGCAACATCTTAAAAATGTCTATGGGACTTTGATGATGACTTGCACTGCTGCATCAGTTGGTGTTTATGTAGACATGTTTACAAGATTCCAAGCAGGATTTTTGTCAGCTATTGTGGGAGCAGGTCTAATGTTGATGTTGCTTGCAACCCCAGATGATGGTAAAAACACAAAATTGCGTTTGGGATATTTGACTGGATTTGGTTTAACCTCAGGTACTTACATCAAATATAATACACAATGTTATACACCTTTTTATTAAAAGATCACCTCACCTGATTTGCAGGAAGCAAATTTTTGCAAATTTTTTTTTTAACTCTTTAAAATTGCATCACTTTAAACTATATTGACTCAATATATATAAAAGGTGAATTCTCCTTATATTAAAATGATTATATTGAATTGTAAACATAAATTGCCTTAATTACTATTTTAGGTATGAGCTTGGGACCACTTCTAGAGTATGTTAGTGCTGTTGACCCATCAATAATTGTAACAGCCCTGTTGGGAACAACTCTGGTATTTGTATGCTTCTCAATTGCTGCAATGTTAGCTGAGCGTGGCAGTTGGTTATTCTTGGGAGGGACTCTGATGACATTATTTTCGTCAATGTTTGTCATGTCTCTTGCTAATATATTCCTGCAGTCTCAGTTCATCTACCAAGTAAGTAAATATAAGTATGTTAACAGTAGATAAGATTACTGAAACTACAGATGTTTTTGAATTAGCAGCTTATGAAGTCTCATATTTGTAATTTGTTTTATTATTAATTTCTATTAATATGCAAAATGGGTATGTACCATACAAGTATTAGATAGGTGGATGGTGAAATCAGGTGGATCTTTTGATGCATTCTCGAACCCCGATTTAATGCACTAGAAATGTGTTGTTAAGGTTCTTGTTATTTGTTTATCAATAATATTTGTATTTCAGGCTCATCTTTACCTTGGTCTTGTGCTTATGTGTGGATTTGTCTTATTTGATACACAACTGATTATTGAGAAACGTCGCATGGGCAGCAAGGACTTTGTGCAACATGCTTTAGAGCTGTTTATTGATTTTGTTGGAATGTTTAGACGTCTTGTCATCATTTTGACACAAAAGGTGAAGTCCGCTGAAACGGTAAAAGTTAAACGCTTATGCAAAATTTTATTCACCTTTATACTACAACTAAACATGTAAATTTATTTTAGGTTGAGTAATAATTCATAAGGCATAAAATTTATAGAAAACAGTTTATTTTTCTTTTCATATACAAATAATGTGTGTCTTCTGTAATAAACATTCACAAATAATAAATATATACTTAATTACAGGAGGAGCAAAACCGTCGCCGCAAACGTGATTAAATATCGCTCAAGAGAAATTTATATAGCATTTGGTAAAATGTGGGTGTTTTAAATAATAATTTTATTTATCTTGTTCTAAATTACTTGTATTATCAATAAAGGGTAAAACCATTAAGTTTATAGTATTTTTGCCTTGTAGATATTAATTTATACTATATTTTGTTAGCTTTTGGGTAAGGTAGGACTTGCACCAGTCTGCATATGAACCTTGCTCTCCAGCCCATTATCTGTAGTTTGTGTAGGATGAACCTTATTTTTACCATAATTGAAAAGATTTTTTGCTTTTTCTAATTCATAATCAATTATTATTCCAACCAAGTTAGCAACATTTGGTTCACTTCTTATTAAGTCAGTCTCTCTTTTTATTCGTTTGTTACTAATACATTTATGGTTAGGCATCCGTAGACAGCGTATTTCTAATGGCGATCTTTTGTTTTTGACAATATATTCGTAAGTCGATATACCCAAAAGTGTTATGTACGCATGAAAACACAGTAGATGCAACAACGCACATGTTATAACAAAGCTACATACTAAGTAAATAATTAAAAATAAAATCAAAAATATGGAACTTTTACAATTCTGTTGATAAAAAGCATTTGTAGTTGTGCAGTTAATCGAATATGAAACTGGCGTTCCAAAGCTAGGGGGATATGTAAAAAAAATAACTAAATCCACTACACAAAGAGACAACGTAAATACGGAGATAAATAAGGCAGTGATGACACACCCAATGAAGGCCGAGTAGTTACGACCTCCAACACAATTATTTAACCACTTGCAATGATGATCAAATTTATAAACACATTTATTACAAATTCCGCAATGTTTCGTCTTCTTATCAGTTGTGTAGATATTACAAAGGTGGCATCGACCATCCTCAATAACATGAGCGTGTAAACTTCGATCAAATTCAGGTACCTCGGTTATTTCCCGCTTACGAATCTCATGTTCAGATGGATCTCGTCCTATAGCAATAACATGAATTACAATATGTAAACCATATAGTATTGCATAGATAATCAAGGCCCCTAATTTATACTTTTGGGGTTGGATCTCGATAAAAAAAAGAAAACTAATCAATCCCGTTCCGATTAAGACCATCCATCCAAAAAGTTGCAAACAATTTAAGGGTAGTTGAAATCCGTTAATGCGTCGCAAATTTTTAGGGTTTTGATTAGATACATGACCACCGCCCATTTGTGAATATAAAAACTTAGTTGCCTTGGTCACAGCTTAAAAACAAAGTAGGAAAGTGTTTCTAATAAGGTCATCATTAATGCGCGCGCAACTGATCAAAGAAAATATAGTATAATAGAGAAAATAGGTATATTTTGCCTTTTTTAAGTTTAAAACGTTTGTAATATGACGGTCATGACCTTGTAAATAAGCTTTAATTAAAAATTGCTACAATAAATAATAAGAAATAAAAAATAGTAACTTAAACTAATTTGTCTTCTCTGTTTGTATTTACATAAGTATAATATAATCTTATCCATTAAATTGTTTTACAATTATGATAAACATATTTAGTATGTACAATGTACATACATGTAGTGCATTAACCTATAGAATTCTCAGATGCAAACTTTTTTGCAGTTTCTCTCCTTGTGTGGACTAGTATTCCATGGCCTTTACAATCAAGATCATCCTCATAGCATTTGTTACGGCAACACTTTTTACAAAATTGATAGCTGCATTTTCCTCCCTGAAACCAAAAATATTGCAGTTTTTTATATATACTAACATGCAAAGGATACATATTTGTAATTTACTATCACTAAACTAATATAATATAGTCTGTACCAAGATTGCCTATAAGCAGTCTAGGGAAAACAAGAATATAATATGCATACAGTAAGGAAAAACAATTCAATAGTGCATAAGTTTAATAGTTTTCAAGAACTAAATAGCTTTTTTCTACATTTATGAAAAAGTCTCAACTTACAAGAGGATTTGGACATAATTTATTGGAACATATATATCCAGTTCTAGGGGGCTGTTTTTCAGAGTTTGCTTTATTTGGTTTTCTCATACTTTTCATCAATTTTTTCATTTTCTTTCTCGAAATAGGATTGCCTTCTAGATCTTCAAGACTTCGCTTGCTTTCACTGTTATTGTTCTAAAATTATATATTAATTATATAGTACAATTACCAATAGCTGTACTAATTTGCCTTCTCATCAATAATTTGGTTGATATCAAACAATAAATATATTATTAAATAAATAATATTATGCATTAATTATAATTTTAAGTAATTCTCATTATTACCTGTTTTTTGTTTATATTGTCCATCTTTTCTGTGTGAGCTTCTGGAGACATGCGGACATATGGTTGACAAACCCATGGGGGTAATATCAAATTAAAACCTTGTCTAGTTAGATTTTCATTGTTACTAAATACAAGTTCACCCAGGTGGTATGGTAGATATTTGTCCTTAAGCATCTGAGACACAGTTTTAAAATCATCCAGATTTTGAGCAGTAGCAAGAATTTCTCTTTCAGTATTGTTCTCTGGATATGAAAATCTAGAATAACAAAAATCCTTTTTATTTTTCTAAACACTTGTAGGTATTAGTGGTTAAAATAATACACTTACATTTTGTGAAATATTTTAAATAAATGGCCTCTTATAAAAGATGTGGGGCATGGATATTTCTCAACTAAATCAAGGTATTCCAGAGCTATATCCCATGAAACTGGATTTATACCTTTGAATATTGCAGGGTTAGTAAGATTTCCTTCGGCACTCATTACACCATCAACTTTAGTATTTTCTATACATCTGAATACATCTTCTAAGCATTGAATATTACCATTTGCAAACATCGGAATGGACATAGCATTTCTAAAAGCAAATAAAATATTAAAAAAATGGTTTATATATAATAACAATATTTTGTTATAATGAAGATTAACCTAACAGCTTTGATATAATCCCAATTGGCAACACCTGTCAGTGGTCCCTTTTGGTCTCTTGTCCTTCCATGTAAGGTAAGTAATTTACATCCTGATTCTTGTAACATTAATGCATAGTTTATTGACCTTTCTATGGTTTCAAGAATTCTTATTTTACATGTTATTGGTACTGAAACTGCCTTAGACATTGTAGAAACTAAAATATGAAGAAATGTTAGTAATGAAAAGTTATTAGCATAGATAAAATTATAGTCAAGAGATAAATGGAATAACTTTAAGTTGCATACCAATGTCTCTCAACAAATCCCAGTCTTCTTGAAGAAATGCTCCATATCTTCCACGTTTGGCAATGGACTGCGGGCAACCAAGGTTAATATCAATAGCATCGCAATCCTTTTCAACTATTTTAGCAGCAGCAGCCAATGTTTCAGGATTGTTTCCACAAAACTGTAATGAAGGAAATAAGTATGGGTCTCTAGTAATATTTTTAAGTTTATGTAATCAACAATAGCTTTAGTTGTTCGTTACCTGAACAATTAAAGGGCGATCTTCAGGACATGTAGTGAAATTTTCCTTGCGATATTTGGCATCTTTTACAAAAATAGCACTATGTAACATAGGTGTGTAACACAAATCGGCACCATGTCGCCGACTTAGTAACCTCCAAGCAAGCTCACTTGCATCTACCATAGGTGCTACCACGTATCGTGGTCGTCCAATTCTTTCAAACCATTCACATGACATGATGCTTTTATTAATTAATTGATGAAGCGAGATTTAATTGCAAAGTATACTAAATATACATAAGTATATGTATTTTCTTCTGTTTAAATTAATAATTGCTATATTGTTAATCATGTCATTAATCTGAAAAATATATTTTTAATTGTAAATACACTAGGAATATTAATTAATAGATTTTAGGTACATATCACCAACTGTTAAAAATACTTATTTGTATTCTATAACACTTTACAATATACTTCGAAGTTATATAAATTACCTTACTAGTTACTATGTAGTTCTATAATTTTATGTAAACAAAGTTTAACAATGTTTATAGAATTTTAGGTTATGTTTTTTTTTATGGCTCTGGCAGCACGGTTTGTGCATTAGCCAGCGTCAAGTATAAGATTTTTATAATTCGTGCTTTTTGCCTTAGAAATTCGACCATGTACGGTTTAGCCACTCGCCCGGTACCGCACAACCCTCCCAAAGGCCGAGAACAAATTTTAAATTAAATTAGGTTATGTTTTATATGATGATATTAATTAATAATTTATACCTAATGGAAAAGGCAAAGGACTTTAGTCCATATTTATGTTTAGAAGTTATACTTCTTTAGGCGCGTTATGAAAAATTGATGAGAGTGAAATTTTACGATGCGCGCGCACCGTGACACAAAATTAACAGAATGAAGTTGCCCACGGAAGATGCTACGGCATTGGACATGATTTAAAAACAACATTCGAATAATAATAGAATTTATGTTACACTTAATGTAAGAGAATAATAATAAATATTTATTTATTTAATTTTTCAAATGTAAACTGAACTTTATTGACTTTATTTATATAATGACTCCTTTTCCAGTCTTTGATTATTTAATTGTAATTAATTATTTGCATGCAATCAAAAACTATTTTCAATAATGCCAAAGAAGTATAACTTCTTACGCGCGTTACGCGTACATAAGTACACGCACCCTTTTTTTGTTTAAAATATTGTATAGTGTAGGAGTATACTGTACTTTCATTGAGTCTATATACATACTACTAACTACTAAGGGTGTAATTTACTTCTACTAGATTCCTATTTAAGGCTTATCACCCGGTAGCAAGAATAACGACGTCAAACGTCTACAAAGACTGTACTCTGTAATTTATATTCTGCGTCAGGCGTGTACACTGTACGGTGTATACTGATATGTAGATTGAAAAACTGTCAGCTTTGGTGCAATTCTGGACTTGCTTGATTCATGATTTTTTGTAAAAACTAAATTATAAAACTTTGATGAACGTTTAAAGTTTTGTTTACTTCAATTCCATAACTATTTAATATATATAACACAAGAGTTGTATTTCTAAGAATATAAAAATTAAGAACTTCCAGATAGTCAGGCTGATTTAAATTAAATATAAAATGGAAAATGATGTTATGGTATGTATTATTATCAATACAGTACGTAAAAATAATTAACAGAAATTACTTGAATTAAAAAAACAAAACTTGTTTTCAGAGTCAGTTTTATGCAGCATTAAATTTACCATTATTAGAGAGAACAATGGAATTGACAAGAATATTAGATCAGACTGGACCTACTAAAGATTATCAAGCCTTATTCCCACAGCTAATTAGTAATATTTTTTCTTCACCTGCTAACAATGGATGGGGTCTAAGACATTTAACTTATGAACAAAATAGATTTGAATTTGAAGCATTAATAAACTTCCTAGAACCCCAGGGACCACTTTTCAGAATGTGTTATAAGCTTTTATCAGATCCACAGTTAAAATACAACCTTTTACTAAATAATTTACCAGTAAGTTGTATCATACTTTAAAGTAGTCACATAAACTGTCTGTCTTTGTTATAATAAAATATTGTTTTGCATGTTTCCCTTTTTAAGTAATCATCTTAACTTTTCAGTTAGATCTACAAATGATGTTAGAAAGAGGTGGAAGGTGTCCACAATTTTACTCTGATATGGTGACATTAGACTCCAACTCCCTGAACATAGTTTCTTTGGCTCTGAGTATCCTTTTTAAAATAATTCAATGTTTTCATGAATTTATGATAAAATGACACCACTACCACTTTTGTGGTTATTTCACAGGTCAGACAAAGAATGATTTATTTTGCTTGACAATGGACATGGTGCTCTTTCAGCTGCATAGCTCATGTTAGAAATATTTACACTAACATTAAGAGTAAAGATTCAGAGCTCAGATTTGTGTGATGTCTCAAGTTGGCTGTACTAAAATTTATTTTTTGTGTACCACCTCCATGGCTTAGTGACATGTTATATAACCTAGAGGTCCCAGGATAGATAGATAGGTTTATTTTCTTGTAAAACAAAAATTGCTTAAAGTGAGAATCAAATAAAAAAAGGGATTATGAACAAAACAGAAAGAATGGTTAAACTGACCCAGAACTATGTCTGCTTTATTCTTCAGCGAGGGCTGCAGTATTTCATACATAATTTTTTAATCTTTGACAACATAAAACATGATATATTCCTTAGCAATGTAATTCAGATCCTTTTGACTATTATATATTCAAGTTTGCTCTCCATTTAACAAGTAATAACCAAAACAGTGGTACGTGGGAGATTTGGAACAGTGCATACTTTGCATTGGCTTGTGATTATCTGACACATTTCTTACCATCTGACCCTAATACATGTATTTTACCCCAGATTCCACATTACAATGGAAAGGTACCTTTAGTTGCACCACTCCAATCTGTTAATAGGTAATTCAATATTCATGTTAAAATATTGAGAATTTATAACATATTTTATAACTAGACAATTTAGTGTGATTTATCATTAAGGTACTAATATAATATGTTTGCAGAAATTTGTATTAAGGTGGTTTTAATTAACTTATTTACTTTGGTTACAAACATTTTTATCCATTTCAGACCTCTAGGCTCACCCTCATTGCTTCTGGTACCTGATCTATCTGGTATCAGCAATCAGCACCCATCTTCTCAGAATCAGTCGAGAAATGAAATATGGAGATCTGAAACTGTGTTGCAAGTTTTTATTGATATTTGGATGAGTGTTGAACACTTTGACATGAGAAATATTGAAGTGAGAAATATTTTTAATTTTATATACTTTTCAATAGAAAAACGAATAACATATATAAATTAATTATTTTAAGAGAAAGTTGTATAAACGTAATTAAACTTAATATAAATCCTATACTGTAACTATATAAATTATCCACATGTATTTAAAATTATTGTAAATGTATAAAAAAATAATTTTCTTTCAGATGTACCAAAGAAATTATACAGGAACATTCTCTAGTCCTGAGAGAGTCCGATTAGTGCGTGTTGTCATAAAACAAATCTATTCATATTCATCAAAGTATAACTCTGATCCTGCCATACGATCTTCAGCGTTACGTAAATACGCTAAACAAATAATGTGCTCTCGGGCATATCAATATGTGAAACACTTGGTGTCGACGTGGCCTTTGGATGCCTCTTTTAGGCTTGTTATGGAACTTTGGCTAAGCCTGATTCAACCTTGGAGATACACTAATACTGTTTCACAGGATAGGTAAGGATTTTTATTTTTTAGCTCTCAAGGGTTGGTTAAGTTTAGTCCAAGTTCAAGTTTCTTTAGCTTGTGCCTCTCAAACCTGAAGTGGTACGTTTCAACACGGCTGTGAATGAACCAATGGCCTTCTATGTGCGCTATTAAGACTTGCTCGTACTCGAAGGAAAACATCGCCGGCATGTCATAAAACTCAAAAATTGGCTGTAATTTCTTCTGTGCCTGACACAGGCTGATTACCTACTTGTCTATAAAAATAAAAAGAATCGTTAAACACTGGATTATTATTAGTCTCCATATATCACTATGTAAATAGTAACACAAAGACGCCATTACAGTTTACGAGTATAAAATATTTTTCTCCAATATAATAATAAAATAGTGCAAACCACAGTTGTGGTGTACCGCCGGATTTCGTACGCAAGAGAGGGTCGCGTGCTTAAACTCTAAGAGTAAGCACATTAACACTAAGTACGACTCCCGTCCGGCAAAAACGTATTGGATTTTGACATACTTACCTTAAAACTCTCCTAGAATCGGCCATATTTTTCAGATTTTCTCATATGAATCGTAATCAAGATGAAGGCTCAAGTGCAGGTTTTGATCCAACTTACATACAATTTGTTGCTGAGAACTTCCCTTCATATATTTGTATACTGCAACTTATGTTACCGAGATTCATGAGACTGGATTTGACTACTTATAAAAATGCGGTGATGCTGTTCAGATTAGGAAAGGTAAAATTGTTCTTATATATTATAGAAAGTACTGCCACACATTTGAAAGAAAGCTGTTAGTAATATAATAGACCCCATTAACATTTTCTACCAAAGTATATTCTTTTGAATATTATTATTATATAAATTAATTTTAATTTTTTAAATTGAAATAAACATCATAATCATCCTAAAGGGCCTAAATTGCTTGAAATTCCATATGTATGTTAACTTAAAGGTCAACTCCATGCGTGTGAAATAATAAACACAATATATTAAATGTACAATTCTTTATTATGTTCTTTGTTTTTTTATAAGTGAAATTTCTAATGCTTTTCTAATCCAACAAGGTTGCGTTAAACGTTTAACGCTCCTGGGGAGGGGGAATAGAAAGAGACAGAGCGAGAGTCAATGCTTCCTATTTTTATTTCCACATTACGAAGTTCCACTTCTTCCGCTCGGAGGGACAATTTTTTTTATTTAACTTAGTTTCGCACCTGTACTTCTCCATAGCATTTTTTGGAAGAGCTTTTTAGCGATACGACCGCCCATGATCTTCCTTTTCCTTTTAATTACCCGTTTGATTTGTTAATACAATGAAGGTAATAAATATAACATAATAATAATAACTATTGATTCATTTGAACCGTCCTTTTAAAGAATTAGGGTTCGAAGTAGTTTTTTTGTTTAAATTAGAAATTGTTTAGAACTAGACTATAATATAATAAGAAGAATTATAATACTAAAGGCAGACTTTCTCTTTCGGTTTTCAGGTATTTTCACAGCACCATTTAATACCTGTGTTGATGAATTTGGAGAAAGCCGTGACAGATAGTATATCAGGGTCAATGTATACTCCAAATAACAGTTTGAACAACTCAAACCTAGATCACAGGTAAAAGTAAACACAGGAAATATAGTCGTATTCAGAATTCTAATACTAAAAAAATAAAACATCAAAAATATTAATATGTGGCGTTCTTCTTATAACCTTTGATTTGACAAATAACCTTTTTAATTTTCACGAAAGTGTTTCTACAGATAGGTTAAAGAGGCCTTCCGGCCATTTGTTTTTAATAATAGGTAGGAGTAAAACTTATCCTTCGTGACTGCGTCGCCGCGTTGATTTTTTCAAAACTGGAAAATACATACGCGAGTTGGGTAAAGGGAAAAAAATAGTTTTTTTTTTTGTATAGAATTGCAAATAAATGCTATGTATATTGTATTGTAGATCAATAGGATATGGTGACGTTTGTAGCGGTATCTATCATCTTTTTAGACTAATAGAGCACTTTAGAAATTTATCCCGAAATATTGTAGTTTATTAATTAAATTTTTTTTGCAGTTACATGTACAACGGTATATCACTTAATAAATGGGTGTCGATTGCGAAACAAGCGATATCAGAGTTCAACACGACATCGACTTTAGAATACAACCCCATTTGGACTGATGATAAAAAACCACTTTACGTGCAATTTGTTAAGAAAGTTATCTCAGCGAAGGCCCAATCTGAGAAATTGCTGGAGGAATATAGAAGCAAATTTAATCAGAATAATCAAGGTGAGAAGGGTCATACCCGTAGGTAAGAATTTATCCAAGGCCTTAGAAAGTAAAATGTAAGAGGAAATTAGCGCATTTTTATTAATTTTTTTGTTTTTTAGAAAAAATAACATTAAATTGCGGTCTTTAGTCACAAAATTTAACAAATTTTGGTAATATTAGGTTACTCAAGTCAAAGTACTTAGAACAAATGTATAACAAAATTACTGTCACATATTTAATTTATGATTTAATATAATCTATATTTAGTATTGTCTTTTATTGATATAATCTTTACACATTTAAAGAAAAAACTTTTTAACCGGATTAAACTTTAATACGGTTAAAAAGTTTTTTATTTAAATAATCTATATTGCAGGCTTCTGGGCTGGTATGAAACAATGGTTTATGATAAGCTATGATAATGAGGATAAAATTCTGTTAGAGGAATCAGAAAAAGTTCCCGCATATTTGAACCATTGCATCAACTATTTCACAAATATACTTGTTGTAAGTTTTTTTTAATATTATTCATATATCCTTTATATAATTTTGTATGTGGCTTATTCCGAATATGTGCTTGGAGGAGGAGTATATTCTCACACAGGATTTTCTTTTAGCAATTGTAAATCTATAATTGTTAATTACAAATATTAATTTTGTATCAATTTATGCTTAGAGTGGAGTATTCTATATAGTATAGTATAGCTGAAATCTATCAAAATCTGTTCAGCGGATTAAGTGTAACCACAACTTTCGAATCACCATTATTTATTTATATATTATTAAATATTAATTAAGTAAATAAACCTTAACTGCTGTAGATACATGGTTCAACTCTCTGGTGTGTTTGCCTAAGTTTTTTTTTCTCGATAATTTACCTTTATTACATTTGTCTTCCATTCCTCGTTTTTAAAATGTATAAAATAAAATAAAAACACAGCACGAAGCGTTTAGGGCCATAAAAAAAAATGTTTAAATTCCAGCTAAATGAATCACTGCCAATAGAGGCGGACCTGATCGACAGTTCACTGGAGCAATCGTCCTTCGCTAATTCAAATAACTTCTCGTTTTCTATTGCACAAAAAGTAAGTTTTATTTCATATCTATATAACACATACAAATGGATGCTATATTTAAATAAATATAGCATCCATTTGTATGTCAAAACTATACTTAAAACTAAATCTCATTGCACCGTTTTATTTAGTTATTAAGCTTACGACATCACACACAGTACTAAATCTACTAATTATTTTACAAAATCATACATCTAAAATGTGTGACAATTAAAGTAAACATAAGTTTCACAAAAAAAAAAAGAAATTAAAAATAAAAATTTAAAACCGTTTTAACTTCGTACTTATCTGTCTTTTTTCATCACAGCCTAAACACAATTTGACCGAAAGAGACGGAACGAATTCGTATATATAAGTAGTTTCAACCATTCCAGTCTGATTGCATTCTACTTTTTATACAAATACTACTCTACTTACTTCGATAAAGTAGTAACAATACCAAATTTTTTGGCTTTTTGTTAAGCTATGTCTTCCAAAATGAAACAATATTTTTTCTGTATTAATGGAATTCAATTGCATATATATTATGTTGTTAACTTGGGTATCGATCTCAGGGAACACGTGTAATACTTGTTATACGGATACAGATATAATAAGAAAAAATACATAGTACTTATAAATATGTAGTCGGATTTAACATAATATGTTGCATGGGTTGTTTTTGAACATGCAACATTTTCACCGATATAAAAAAATAGTTTAACCTCTATATTATTAATCTAATATTTATTATGATGATCTACAAAAATATTCAAAGCAAGTACATATTATGTTAAATGTCGTGCGTGTATGTATGTATGTTCACAAATTTCTCGGCAACTAAATTATACATTTCCAGACATGTAATATAAGTACCTACTTAGTGTTGACAGGTTTTTCGCTTTAATTTAAATTGCTTTTGTTATTAAATAACTAGAGTTGTTATAAAGGATTTGCTTGTTTCAGCTGAGAAATAAATCAACTGGCCTACAGTATACGGGCGATCCGGACCTCATGCCCATTATGTCATATGAAAATACAATACTAGTGCGCTTTTTGTACCAACTCGCTACAAAGCTGAATGAAATTGTATGTTTTCTTTCCTTCATAAAATTTAAATATACATTTTAGGCCCGTATTCTAAAATGTCTATTTAACTTGAATCTAGTTTCAAGAGCTGCCAAACTGTTTTTTTCTATTTGACAGCGCTCAAGACGAGATTGTGTCTTGAGTAACGACTTAGCGTGTGGACCTTAGAAGTCGTTACTAGAATGTTTCCGAATAGAATTAATAATTTAGTATAAAATACAGCATAACTAGCAGAGAATATATTAGAATATGCATAGACAGAGGCGGCCTTACACATTGCGAGGCTCCGGGCGGCAGGTCTTTACGAGGGCCTTTGTAAGTAGGTCTGGTTGTTTGGTTTAGGTATTTGTCATGTTACTACATAATGAATATTTCAATTATGTTTTGAGTGAAAGAATTAGTTAACTAACTTTATTTTTGTTAACCGTAATGTTATACCCTTAATAAGTAACTAAAGATCAAACTCAAAAGTTTTAAATTAAAAAAAATAGTCAAAAACATCGATATTTTTTAAATTTGCTTGGGTTGTTGCGCGAGGCCCCTGCAAGAGCGAGGCCCCAGGCGATTGCCCTGTTCGCCACTCCCTAAGGCCGCCGCTGTGCATAGATATATAAATCCTAAATCAAATAGATTAAATTAACCCAACTTACAAACTTGTTTAAAAAAACAAATTTATTTCAGTATGAAGACGATTTTATGAGGTGGTGGAATCGAGATGGTTTTTGGGGTTATGCCGTTAGGGAAGTGTTGCAAAAACCTTTGACGGTACAAACTTACATGAAAGACACGGTCAATCATAAAAACATTGTACTAAAAGAACTCCCACCTAGACTGTCTTTGAGAAGATTAGCGTCCAACGTTTTTATAGTCTGGTTTACAATAGGATATTTTGCATTTCGATTTTTATCATACAGTGGATTTTTCTATGTGTTTTTCCTGCTCATGATGTTTTGTTTTATTGTATTAACTAAGGCCTCATTGAAAATGTTCAAAATTTTGAAATCTTAATATTTTTTTACAATAAATGAATGTATTTTTTGAAAGTGTATTTCATTTAGAGATAGAACTGTTAATGTAACGTTTATTTGCTGTTTTCGTATATAATTCATGACGTATAATTGAAAGCGTAGTAAAATGCAAATTTATACACAGGCATACATACTTACTTATTTAAATAAATCCATTATAATATGCTACATTTACCCATAATTTGCCAATACCGAACTTTTTTACTGAAATTATCGTATTGGATTTGACAATTATTATGTATTTTGTGGTCAATTGATGAAACTTCAGATAGATAAACTTAGAATCAAGGATCATGGTTTTACTAAAAGCGATCTTGAGTCCACATTTTTAAAGGACATATTTATTATTAGGTATTTTACGTATCCTATTAAGATCGACAACCATCATATTGGTAATTTACTGTAAGCATACTTGTGTATGTTAGTTTATAACTATATAATTTTTTCTCACAATTAAATGGTAGGTTGCTTTCATGAATGTGAACAGTATAAATGTAAATTGATAGTAGCGCATGGTCGAAGCTCCAAAAGGGTGTCAATTAAATAGATTCAAAAACGCAATTCACGATTTTAAATATATGCATTCTTCAATTACACAAACATATGTATAGCGTTCAAAATCAGTCTCCGACGTCTTTTAACTCCAAGCCAGTTTTAGGATTGCATAGGCGAAGATAATTATTTAGAAGCACGCTACATTATCGTCGATTCAACTAATCTGTGACCATTTTGTGTCATGTGAAATCAAAATGTTTAATAATTTTTGTAAAAATAACATTTGAAAGCCATGTTTTATACGCATTACTCTTAATAACACTATTTTTGATACTGTCAAATTGATTATTCTAGACAGAGCGCAAAACGGACGGACAAATTGGCGCACTTTTGTTTGTGATTGGGATGATAAGGGTGAATGTGCTGTTTAAGTTTTAGATTAGCGCAATAATGCAGGTATGAAGCGATCATATAAAACTTTGAACCTAATCTCACGTTATAAGATTTATTTTTAAAAAAGAAAGATAATTTGTTACTTTTATTTAAGTTCAACAATATCTCTTAAGCGTTAATCGAGGTACAATATTCATAGAAGCTAATTCCTGGAAGAGCAATTTACAGGCGTAAGGCATTTCGACAGCTGCGACCGCACCCGAAGAGCGACAGGCGTGGCACCAGGCACGACTCGCGAGACGACCGCAAGCTCCGCAAATCGACGCACTGAATGCATCTGACGCGAACATTAGTCGCTCCATTAAAAGCATACTGGAAAATGTCATGAATATTTCAAAAAATATATAATGAATATTTATAGCTATTTATAGTACTTTAGACTCGTAGACAATTGATAGAATATATTTGCAATAATAAAGACGTAAGAACATAGATATAACTTACAAAAATACTAATTGTTTATAGTAAAAAAGTTTATTGAAAAATTAAACATGAGAAACTCGTACCTCGCCCCATATCCAATAAGACAGTCCCTTTCCATCTCCCCGAGTCGCAACCCTCCATCCCTTGACCGTCCTTCCGTGGGTTGCCTTGTGAGAACTGCACGCGGACCGCGAGCGCGCGCGTGCATTTTGTCTTGAACCATATGTTTAAGCTTCTGATAGTAAACCTAGAACGCAAAATTGGTCCGTATAGTTGAAATCAAATAAGTTCGCTAGAATTTGCATACATTTGGTATAGGATCAATTAAACAATTGCTTCGACGAGTAATAATAAAAAGCAATAGTAATCGCGACTTTTAGTTCGTTCAATAACCTGATGTCACAAACTTGCATCGCATGGTACAAAAACTCAATATTAAAGTTGGGACCGGGAAGAGAAAGCTGACGAAAGTTTAATAATTTAACGATATTTTTGTTGTCATGTATTATTTTTTTTAGAAGTACATAGTATACTCACTGGGCCAGAGTAAATGTAAGCCTCAAGAGGTTCGCCCGTTACCCCAGAATAAAAGATGTCCTTCCCGTGATAGTTGTAACCATGCTTCTCCAGCTCTTGACACACATCTCGAACCTTAGATCCGCCAAATGCCGTTCCTACAAAAATAATCTTAATTATAACAATAGAAATATATAAAATGAAATCTCCCAGAAACACTATGACAGTTTCATGGCACTTTCAAAATCTTCTTTGAGCTTCTAAAGCACAATTAACTGTTCCACAATATGTTTTTTTTATCATTTATATATTATAAAAAAACTTAAAGTACAGAAAATACAAAAAATCACTACCTGGTACCTGAATGGCCTGGTATAGCTAGCTTTTTTCTTTTCGGTTTATATTATCAGACTATTAATTAAATTACCAATGTTAATTACATAAGTACTAAATTACCGTAATGAAATTTGCCTTCCATGAGACCAGCCTTTCCAGCTAGAAGTTCAATAGTTTTGCCCACTGTCATACGGGACGGGAATCCATGAGGGTTCATTATCATATCCGGACAAATCCCTCTATCATTGAAAGGCATGTCCTCCTGCTGCACTATTAAACCTGTCACGCCCTTCTGCCCGTGTCTGGAACTAAATTTGTCCCCTATTTCCGGAACCCTTGTCTGTCTCAAGAGTATTTTTATGAGAAACGCGTCCTCTGAATTAGATGACACCATGACTTTTTCTATGTACGACTCAACTGGACCCTTATACGTGATAGGGACGTCTTTATAGTCTATTTGCTGCGGTTGACCTTGGCTTATCGGGTTTAGAGTTGCTGGTGGCATTTGCTTGTTAATCAGAACTTGTCTATTTTCGACCATCTCTCCCGGTGCTGCTATTCCATCTGTATCGAGTATATCGTGTGCTTTAATGACTTTGCCCGTGTTAGCGTCTCTCGACGGACCCAGGATTCTATCTGATGTTTGATTGCTGTATCTTTTCATAGTGGTTTTAGCGTTTTTATAGACCAGACATCGTCCATAACCGCGGTCTATTGACGCTCGGTTTAATATCAACGCGTCTTCGATATCGTAGCCGCTGTAACTCATTACTGCGACTGTAGCGTTCTGTCCGGCCGGTAATTTATCGAAGTTGGTCAACTCTATTGTTCTCGTTTTAACCATTGGACATTGGGGATATACTAAATTGTACATTAGTGAATCTATCCTGTTCTTTTGATTGTAGCCTATCGTACCTGAAATTATAAAACATTTTATTGAAAAGGTTGCAGAACCATTGCAATACCATCTTGAATACTGCTTAGTTTCAAGCTACTGAATATATTGGATTTAACAAATACAAGTCCTGGCTTTAAACAGTTGGAGTTAAAAAACAAAAGTGCGTAAAAGACATAATATGGATCGGTGTTAAACAATAACAATACTATTATTTGATCTTTGATGTGTCTTTTATGGGAATACATAATATTATCAAATATAAACTTTATTTTAATAATTTCTAAACTTCAGTATTTAATGCTCAGAATGTCGAAATCCTATCGAATTAAACAGAATCTATGCACTTTATCGATAAACAATAGTAAATTTGGCTCTTACCCATAGCTTGCTTTCCCATAGCGCATTGATAAGTATTCCTAGGACTTTGATTGTGATGTGGGTACGGTACTAATCCCGCACAAACCCCAAGTATCGTAAATGGCTCAATTTCAAGGTGCGTCGTGACGTATGGGTCAATTTCCAATTCCACAGTTGCTATATGACTATCATTTTCTTCATTCACATCTAGGTATTCAATGAGACCGTCTTTCAGAAAATCTTGGAACTTCTTTAGCCCTCTTGTTAGCTCGTTAATGTGGTGCTGTTTGACTAGAGGAAAGCCTCGCTCTACTATGATGTACGGTCGGCATAAACGACCGCCATCACTGCAAATGTACACTGTTCGTTGGTTGTGATTGGGGTATATTGACACGAAGGACGATATAAGCCCTCGCCGTCTGAACATTCGGAATATCTTTATCAGCTTCTTGTAATGTCGTGTCACGCCCAATATATTACCTGTCATCGATATTGCATGAGTTACAGAAATACATTTCTGTGGTTGTTGTATTAATATTATTTTTAATAAAGAATGCCAACCTTTTACGTTTTGCAATCCGAATGATTATCCTAACCAGAATTCGAACCAAATCGAAACATGGTGAGGTGGTCTACGCAAAGTCAAATATAAAACAAAGTTTTACAAAATTATTTTATAATAAAAGTAACATTAGTTAAAAAAATAAAGTACCATACTAGTTTGCACCCCAAATTTCTTTATTTACTTATTTTCTTAAGGGTAATAATAAATATGATATATATTCACAGTTTCTGACTAATTTTAAACTATAACAAAATTTTCACATAGAACAACTTACCATTAAGAAACACCATATAGTTTGCGGGGTTATTAATTTCTTCGCCACCCAAAAGTCTGACATCTTCCACCCCCGCATTGCAAGCCAATCGGGCAATGGGCTCCGTGGAACATTCCGTCGTGATATGAGTCATAAGGGCCAAATTCTTTACTAATCCACAACCCTCACCTTCAGGGGTATCAGAAGGGCACAACATACCCCATTGAGATGGTTGTAAGGATCTAGGACCCGAAACTTTGCGAGTCTTCTCAAACTGAGAGTTAACCCTAGTCATCATCCCTAAGGCAGAGATATAACTGAGGCGACTCAAAACTTGCGTCACCCCATGCCTCTCCATTTTGAAACGCTTAATCGTCCAATTGCCCTAAAAACATAAAACAACATCGAGCGAAAGCGATACACAAGTATTGTTATCTTCATCATTTTTGAAAAGATTTTAAAATATATAGATTTCTGTTCTAATCGCAGCGAAGACTTTCGTATAACTATATGTTTCAAGGCAATTGATAATTATATGGTTTTATAACAAAATAACGAAGTGCACGAACATTTAAAACGTAAATTTAAGTTCCATAACTTTTTTATTATTTCGTAATTAAAACGAAGTTAGAGCAGAGCTTTAAACCACGCCAAGGAATAAGCATAGCAAAATAGCCAAAGTATTTTCGAACCAATAGTACCGGCCGGCAACGCACTCGCGAGCCCTCTGTCATTGAGTATCCATGGGCGGCGGTATCACTTAACATCAGGTAAGCCACCTGCCCGTATTGCCCATTCCATAAAAAAATCTTACAGTTGATATAGCAGTGAACAGTCCGTTTGTTATCAAATCAGGCCTCATGTGTTTGACGATATCGAACGGTGCCGCTTTGACTTTTGGTATAATTTTCTCTGCTATATTCTTTAGCTCCCAATTGAATCTTTTGAACAAATCCTCAAACATAAGCGCTAATAGAGATCCAGCTAATTCTAATCGCTTATTTCCATAATAATCTGGGTCATCGATTGCCGATTTATTCGATTCTGCCTCGATAACTCGCTTCACCATTATAGCCAAGTAAATCGCTTTTACGTAAAAGTTAAAATTTTCCACAGTAACGTGAGCTAATATTGTAGTGGCAAGAAGTTCACGAGCTTCGTCGATTGGTGTTCTCATTTTTGACATGCTTGATGGAAATCTGGAATAATTTAATAGACAAATTCCTACATTTGAAAATCAAGTCAAGAAATATTCAGAATACTTTGTAGCATCCTTGATCATCACTTTATATAAGCTGGAATGTAAACAAATGTGTTCTTTAAGCATAGATGTATGTGGTTTATTTGTAGTATTTACGTCGGCTTAGAATAGAATTAAGGAAATCATAAATCTGGAATACTATTAAAGTTAGAAAAGACCATGCAATTTTAATCATAATAAAGCACAGGTAAAATGATGTATAAAATTTTACCTTTTAGTCTTACATTTTTGTCCAATGTAAGTAAGTGCCTGTTGTTGAGTAAATATTTTTAAATTATGACAATCCATTATACATGGCGCCATTTTCTTTAAAGTATTATCATCTGTTCCTATAAGTTGTATAATTTCTTGATCACTGCATATTCCCATGGCTTTGAAGGCTATGGCTATTGGTATATCCTTAAAATGTAAATAAATTGACATGACATTTCCAATCTATAAATATAATTTTTTCTAACAATGTCAGATGGGCATTTCCTACTTAGAATTTATGTAATTACAGTTATTAAACCATAGAACTGACCAGTCTGCTATATATGTGATACTACTATTTGAATAAATTTCACAAACAAAAACAGATGGTAGTGATGAAATTCGAACGCAATTAGTTTCAATTATTAGTTCACAGGAAAAAAACTATAATAGTGCTACAAACAGAAATAATTTTAAAAATATACCTCAGATAATGCATTGTGCCTTAAAACATATTTGCCATTTTTTACAATAACATTTGTCCTTGTTTTCTTTTCATGTGTAGAACTGGTAACCTGACATTGAATAGCACCCTTAAATTCATCAACAATCATTCTGTTTCGTGATAACTGTTCTTGTATCAATATCACTTTTTCTTGGCCTTAAAAACAATTCAAAATTTTAAATTATCAAGTTTCATTACATCATAAAAATTACTGGTAATAAGGCTCTTCCTTTGTCATTAAACAGTGACGAAGTTCTTGGTGTTCACTGTCAAAACCTGGCTTATTTAAAAAGTTAAATCCAAAGATTTGAATGTGATATATAAATTAATATAATTATTTTGGATAAAAAGGAATAAAAGTTATATTGTTCGGTTATCTATAAAAACACCTAAAGAACAAATGCAGATAAGTATATGTACTTTACTACTATTGGTAAAACATATACAGGTAATATGCTGCAGCCAAAAATAAGTTAATGTATTTCATAAAATTGTTATATCGTTCTAATAATATTTATTTAATATATTACTTATATCTAGACTATATTATTATATAATAATATAAGTGTTTGTTACAATATATTCCATAATAAATAATAAGTTAAGTATATTTACCTCTAATAATAAAATAGCCACCAGGATCATGTGGACATTCATTAAGTTGAGATAATTCATAGTCTGATTTGTTTGTTAAGACACAATTTGAAGACCTCAACATTAAAGGCATCCTGAAAAAATTAAATAGTTAACACAGCACCATAACTTTCATAGGCAAACTATATAACTTTTCATAGATTTTTAAGTTGACAATTACAGAAAAGTGTTTTAATACCTTCCAATAAGCTGCTTATTTTTAATAACACGTTGATTGCCTCTTATGTATTCAATGTCAACAGTTATTGGTGCTGAATAAGTTAAATCCCTTAGACGGCATTCATGAGGAGTGGTAGCTTTAGTAACATTAAAACCTTCTTCTAAATCGGGAGTTCCCACATAAGCATTTAAATATTTTAGGTAAAATAGTGGATCTGAATCACAGAATATTTTTTCATTGGCTTGAACAATTTTTTTAATTTCAACATTTATAAAGTAATTAAAAGAATCAATATGTTGCTTCACTAAGCCTTTCACTTGCAAGAATGAAGGCACCAATTTCCATTTATCCTGAAACCAAAATCTCCTTTTAAGATAGTTTATGTGTAACAATATTACAACATATATCAATTATCAATAAATTAAAACTACTGTAGACAGACCTTGTAGACGTAAAGTTTTTGGTACATAATTATATCATAATAACACTAACCTCTAAGCATTTTATAGGCTCGCGTAAACCTTTTCCACTATCCCACTCCTTCTGGTTTAATAATTCACCCATTTTTATCAAGAAAAAGTTATACGAACTCGAAAATATGTCATAGTATATATGGTTTAGATTATATTTGTATGTTTGAAAATTTAAAACCCAATGAATAAAACCGCAAGTATTTAACTTGTCTTGACTCTTGAACAGCAAAATTTTGTTTTTAACAATTTGAAAACACTTGATTTGATTTTGACAGTGAAAACTAAGAACTTTGACACTGTTTAATGACTCAATTTGGTTAAAACATTTGATTGGTTATCCACTCAATGAGACTGACATTGACATTAATGAGAAACCACTAAAATGACAAAGACACAAGCGGGTATCTATTTTTTCTTGAAAGTTGAAGTAAAACAATTTACAGCCAAAATTACATAAAATTTTAAGAAGGAATATTGATCATGATTATTGCTACATGGTTAATATGTTCTTAGCTGTACAACAATAAAGAATTTGCCAATTATTATGTTAAAAAATTATCCAAAATGGTGTATGAAAGTATACCGAGAACAGTGCGCATAATATTACTTGGTGAACCGGGAGTCGGCAAAACATCATTAATTCTTTCCTTAGTCACCGAGGAATTCACGGAACATGTTCCACCAAAGGCAGAAGAGATTACAATACCAGCAGATGTCACACCTGAACAAGTACCAACAAATATTGTAGATGTGTGTTGTATGTATCAAACTATCAATTGACTGATATTGCTGTATACTATACGGCCTAGCTTCATTATCAGAAAAATATATAATATTTCAATTTTTCAGTAAATGAGCAGACTCTTGAGCAAGTTGCAGAGGAAATTGAAAAAGCCCATGTTATTTGTATAGTTTTCTCTGTAGACAAACAAGAAACCCTGGATAAAATAGCTTCATATTGGTTACCATTTGTCAGAGATAACTGTCCAAATGACTATCGAAAACCTGTTATTTTAGTGGGAAATAAAATTGATTTGATTGATTACTCTATTATAGATGTAAGTATTTTTAATTGGTTAAAGAAAAGTTATTTTCGAATTCTGTATTGACTAAAATATAACAATATATATATATTATTTTATAGAATATCTGGGATATTGCAGAGGAATATCCAGAGGTGGATAGATGTATTGAATGTTCAGCAAAGACTTTGACTAATGTCTCTGAAATGTTTTATAATGCACAAAAGGCTGTATTACATCCAATCCATCCTATATATTCAATTGAGGAACAGGAAGTTAGTATTTTTTAAATTTAATAAATTTTTATTATATTAAAAATATAGTTGTAATTTAAATCAATATTTCAATGAAACTAATTCAGACTTTGTTATAAGTGTGTGCTATGATGTATTTTATATAACATAAATTCTACAAACCTTGACTTATAATTATTGCACTAATTTTTCAGTTAACTGAAAGGTGTAAAAAGGCATTGTCAAGAATATTCAAAATATGTGATCTAGATGGTGATGGAGTTTTAGATGATTATGAAATAACATTGTTTCAAAAGAAGTGCTTTGATACTCCGTTACAGTTGCAGGTTTACTTTTTACTTAAGAATAGTCCCTCTTTGTTGTGCCATTAATTAGTTGCTTAAATTTTTTACATGAATGATTGTTGGTAAATAGAAGATTGTATTTTGGTTTTCCTCAGTTTAATCCCAGACCTTACACTATACATTTTGAATTAAACAAATGCATTTATAAGTATGGCACACTTGTGGGTCGCACTACTGTAGTAATGAGTTAAATTAAAAAAAATATCAGATTTATATTAAAAATAAGTTATTCTAGGTTTTAGATGAAGTCAAATCAGTTATTGCACAAAATATAGCTGGAGGAATCGAAAATGAATGCATCACAATGAAAGGATTTATATTTTTACATTGTCTTTTCATTCAAAGAGGACGTAATGAGACAACATGGACTGTTCTTCGTAATTTTGGATATGATGAAAGTTTAGAATTAACACAAAGTTATTTATATCCTAAGTGAGTTTATATATTATGCAAATTATTTGGTTAACGTACCACAGAAATGTGGCAAAATGTCGCTGGGAATCAAATGCAGAACCTCTAGTTAATTTACCGTATGCATTAAGTACTACTTAGAGGTTGCAGTATGTGTTATAGTTTTATTAAAAGGAATGAACCATTAATGTTTCAGTATTAAAATACCTTCTGGGTGCACTTCCGAACTTTCATACAAAGGACAGCAATTTTTGACTCAAGTTTTTGAAAAGTATGACCAAGACAAGGATGGCATGCTAAACCCAACTGAGTTGAAAAATGTATTCTCATGCTGTCCGCGGATACCTTGGCATAACTTAAGATATACTGTACCAACTAATGAAAAGGTAAATTTTAATTCGTGTAATTAAACAATAGCCTGGTGTGGCTCTATGTCAGTTCCAATAATTTTGAATAACAAATATGTACCTAAGTGACCAGATTAAGCCATCAGTGTGCATCCTAGAAAATTTCACTGTTTATCTAATTATTTTCTAAATAATAATGGTTTGACCAAGAAAATACACCCCAACAATGTTATGTTAATAAGATAGATTTTAGTGTTTTTCTCATCTTAACAAATAAACAACTATAAGGCAAAAGTTTATAAACAAATTTTATTTTTCAGGGATACTTGACTTTACAAGGTTGGATGTGTCGTTGGACTTTAATGACCCTTCTTGACTTGCAAAACACAAGTGCCTATTTAGCATACTTGGGATACAATTTCCTTGAAAATGATACTCAGAAATCAGCTTTTCACAGTGAGTATAAGCTAATCATAAGTTTCCCACGATGTATCTTGTATAATAATGTTTGTTTTATGAATGGATTAATTTTCTCTTTCTGGTTTCTCACTAGAAAAAGACATTGAATGGAAATTGAAAAGTTTAACTTTTTTCAGTAACTCGTGAGAAAAAGATAGATGTTGCTAAAAAACAATCAAGCCGTAATGTATACCAATGTCATATAATTGGACCTCGAGGTTGTGGGAAAACATCTATATGTAGAAGCTTTTTAGGAATAGCACATAAGGTAAATTATTTTAACGCTTTAATTTTATGAAGATTATTTAATGTGTTTCATAGTTTCATTAGATGCGCGAACTTCCGAAACCACAGTGCCGAGAATGCATAAAGTATGCATTCTCGTATATTAGTAAAGATGAATATTGTATGAAAAATATATTAATTTGACTATTGCAACATGATAGTACACTAGATATTAGAACGCCGACAATCATTAAAGCTCCAACAATATTAGCGAGGATAAGTTTTTGACATATATTTTTTGTCCGACAAGTTTAACATTAATATAACAACATAATCTGGAAATAATTCATTTCATACATCGCCCAATGTTGATGTTGTGATGCTGTTCTTATTAAATACATTGTTACCATAGAGAATTAAACCGCACACAAACGAGCGAGGTGATGCTCACAGTTGTGACAGTAACTGCTGCATCAACACAGTACAGGTGTATGGACAGGAAAAATATCTGGTGCTGAGAGAGATTGCCATCACTCGTGTTTCTGACCCGTTGCAACCGCATGAGGTCAATTGTGATGTTGCCTGTCTGGTTTATGACCTTACTGCATCTAGATCCTTTGAGTACATTGCTAGGATATACATTGTGAGTTTAGAATACTAGTATTACTACTTGCTCCTGTACACTTGGCATCTCAAGTTTAAAGTCTTTATACAATTTACATATAATATATAAACAAGTGGTCAACACAGTGGTTTAGAAAAATAGAAGTATATTGTGTTAGAATAATATTTAATAAGATTTAACTAAACATTTGTATTGACGTAACAAAAACAGTTAAATACAGTAGCAGTCAAACCAACAATTTGTTAACTGCAGTTGAGACCTACCTACCTACTGTTAAATTATAACAAACATAAGTAGAATGTTATTGCTAATATGTATTACTGTTCTTTTTAAGAAATACTTTGCTGAGAGTCACATCCCAGTTCTAATAGTTGGAACGAAAGGTGATAGTATGGTGATGAGGCAAGAGTATATTCTTCAACCTGAAGTTTTTTGTAGCAAGTACCAACTGCTACCACCTCAAGTATTTAATATTAAGGAGAACAAACATGATGTCTTAGTTAAACTAGCAACTATGGCTGCATTTCCGTAAGTATATTTGACCTTCTCAAGATTTGTGCTTTTTATTCTATATATTTAAACATAATATGTATTTGATTCATCGAAAACTACTTAAGGGCTAATATTTTGAAATATCATTATTATTGACTTGCTGTTTCTCAAATGCCAAAATAAAAAGATAATCCAAATAAATACCAGACAAAAAAATGTCTGTTCAGCAAATCTAAACCATACAACTGAAGTTATCTAGCTTATATTTCAACTTTATAAAATGTGTATGAAATGTAATTTTAAATTATTACTATTTTTATTAAATTCTTGACCAGTCAATTTCAAGCTGCTTGGATTTTATTCAGCAAACGCAGGTAATTGAACATCTACTTTAATATATGACATATGTAGTTTACGTAGCACACATGATTTCTTTAGTTTTGTTTTGTGGTATTGTAAGAACATATTTTTTTATCACTGTTTCAGACACCTCAAACACTTTGCGAGTTTCGCTGGTGACAACACTTCCTGGTGGAAGGCTGGTATTGGTGTTGCTGCAGCGACAATCGTGGGCCTCGTACTTATCAAGATATTGAACTTCCAGAGACAGTAGTTGCATAGACATATTTGCTTACTTAGGTCCTTACACTATATTATTTATTTGACAAATCTACAAATTATAGCAATACAATCACCAAAGAAGTTTCAGTGTATTGTTTGAGTTGTAAATAAATGTGAAGAGTTCATTCTAGTCTTTTATTAGTCAATTGTGCCCAGTGGATATAGGAAATTAAAACTTAACATTTAAATGTTAATGAGAAAACATTTCCCTTCTACAGCCAAAAATTAAACAAGGTCTAAATACAATGAAAAAAAACATGATTCCATCAAATAAATCCACCACTTCAAGGAAATTAAACGAATTTTTGGGTTGAATTACAGTTTATTAGAACATGTCAGCAGTTTTTATTAATATCTAAAACTTATACTATGCCTTACTATATCGTAATGCTATGTTAGTAGACCAAAGTATGCACAAAATGAAGTTCTGGAACATCTCAAAAACAGCCATTTAAATACCAATTGATTTTACAACATGATCCCTTTGCATAACAACGACATAACAAGATTAACACTATGTATTAAAAACAAAAGGATGAGGATCTATTAGTAATTTTCGAATTTTAAGTCACTTAATCTATGAATAAATTATACTTAATACGGCCGCTGTCTGTCTCTTCCACTGAAACAAGATAATTAAGAATTACTTATACAGTTTGTTGAGGTATAACTGGCTAATGATAACCATGGTATATGTTTACATTCAATTGCTTTTTCAATGCAGTTCCATAAATTGGAAACTTCAGAAAATTGCGGGTATTTTATGCAATATATCATTTTGTGACTCACCCGCCATCTCCCCTCATGGCCCCGCCGCTAGGACGGTCACCGCCGCCTCCTCGGCGATCTCCCGATCGGTCTCCACCACGATCTGGTCGCCCGCCCCAGCTACCACCTCCTCCCCGGCCACCTCCTCGGCCCCCGCGAGGCGGGCCTCCTCCACGACCACCACCGCCGCCGCCACCTGATGGTGGACCCCCACCGCCACCACCAGGCTTCTCCTCGTTGCACCTGTTACACGACTTCCTCCACGAGAAGTTCGTGTTTCCACAGCTGGGATTGGGGCACCGCCAGTCTCCTTCTCTGTTGCCCGACGGTGGTCCGTTACCCCCGCCGCCCCCTCCGCGGCCGCCTCGCGGCGGACCTCCTCCACCACCCCGACCACCGCGGAATCCGCCTCCGCCTCCACCTCCGCCACCACCTTTCCCTCCGGCCCACGTGTTTTGTCTTTGCGCGAGAGACACTTTAATTGTTGCACCATTGAAATCTTTTCCGTCGAACCATTGTATAGCCGATGTGGCGGCGTTGGAGTCCTCATACGTGACTGTCGCTTCTCCTTTCGGTTGACCCGTTGATTTATCCTTATACATCCATACTTTAGGTCTTTGGGTTTTTTTATCCATCTATTAAATTAAACAAATTGCGTAAGTAAAACATTTTCAAATTTATGTCCTTGTTTCTATTATGATTAATTAAAGGAAAAAAATAACACATCAAACTGTGTAGTAACCTGCAATTAAGCCAAATCAAGATATTAAGGTAGCTAGCTTAACGCAATTCAGTACCTTTATAATACCGATGGCTCCAAAATGCTGGCACAATTCTTCTTCTGTGGTTGATGGATTCATCCCTTGAATGAAAACGGTGTCGTCTTGAGTGACCATTTCACCACCCCCCCCACCTCTGTCACCACCAAAGCCACCGCCCCCGCCTATAAGAAACGCCTATTAGTAATGTGTGTAACATATACACATAAAACCTAGCTTTTTTTACCAATGAATCTTGATATATAAAATATCCATAACTCCACTCTTAAATATTTTTTCCCCAATAACATTAGACATTATTGTATTGATTTGATGCTGATTATAAGATATTCAGACCTTTTGTACCAATTGTTAAGTTTTGCAATATACCAAAATACTTATACGTAATAATAATATAAACGTTACCAAAAGTATGCGCACTATAACATAAATAATATGAAGGTCAGGGCTGCCAAAAATAATTTTCGTGGGTTATCCTTAGTTCTCTAAACGCAACAAAGCACTTAGGTCGCACAAGAAGTTTTTAATTCAAATAGACGTTTACTATAAAATTTAAATTCGGAATTCTAAAAAAACAATTTATTTCTATCATTTACAATAGTGTAAAACCAACATACAACCGCATATAGACTACTACTAGTGTTAGATAATTACAATATGTTTCGCTTCTCCACATCAGTAAAGAACCTTAGTTTAGCATTGGAGATGTTCCTTTACCCCTTAAAAATACCACTGAAAAAAATCATTTGTATTTTGATGTTAATGTAGTTTTCATTAGATTTATGATGCTTATTTTCATATATGTTAAGCAACCTGGCAGGAACTTGACGAAAATGATTATCAGCAATAACTGGTTTCTGGAGTTAGTGGTACGACAGTAGCCTTAGAGCCTAGAGAAATTCCACATCTTCAAGTAAAATATTGCAATTAGCATCTACAAGTGACTAGGACAAAACAAATCTTTTACTCATGGATTGTACTGTTATTGTGTATTGATGTTGCCGTATGCAATTCAGTTGCAATTACAAAGAGTTTCACTATAAAGATTGAAAAATTTGCACACTCAGTGAAAATTGGACATCCTTTGATTTTCTCAAGTTTGAAATTTGGCAGCCCTAAGATTTACGAGTAAAAATATAACAATAGCACCACTCGTTAATCACGAGGAGCTTTACCTTTATTAAAACCACCCCCCCTGCCGCCGCCACTATAACAATAAAAACACCATTTAGTTCACACTGGCAGGTTGGGGGCACATTGTATGAAGCACGTTGACTGACACCTAAGGTCCTTATAAGTGACCTTAATCCAATATGTGGGTCCTTTTCATAACCATTAAAACCTTGAACACCTTAAATATTTTGATGGCAATAACAATGTACAAGATTTGAAATACATGCATTTTCTTCTTGAAAAAGTGTTATTGTAAATAACAAAGCTAATATTCACATGTAAATCATAAGGAAATATGCAATAATATGTTATTGCTATATATTTATAATTAAATATTGTACAGTTTAGATAGATTTTGGGACAACACTTTCTCAAGATTAGACAATAACTTCTATACCTTAAAAATATTAGGCAGTGTCCAAACTCATTGTTCTATAATAGTAAACCTAGGCAAATTATGAACATCATATTAAAATTTTATTTTCTAAGTTATAAATAGTAATGTTATGTATTGTGCTGGTATATATTTTGATCATAAAATTGGATTTAAATGTAATATCTCAAAAAACAGAGAACCATAAAACATACTATTAATTACTATATTTTACCGAGTTCACCAGATCTGTCATAGACCTCCACATATTGATTTTTTATTTCTAAATTGAAGTATAGATAGTAGTATAACCTTGCACAAATGTAGCAAATATCAGCCTTATTGTATCATTGTCACAATAAAGCAAGAGATAATAGCTTATACAGTAGGGGAGCCCACGAGTATGAAGCACGTTGACGGACACCTAAGGTCCTTATAAATGGGGATTTACTCGAGCGTCGTAGAGACCTATTGGGATGCAAAGCTTAGATGATAAGAAGAAAAAAATGTTATATGATATATACCTTTACATCGGTGGGGGAAGCGGCTATAGATTTTTAAATATGTAAAAAAAACTGTTGCATGGACAGCCTCGAGCGCGTCAGATATTGATAGCATCAATGCCCTACGTATTTTTAATAATGTACGTATGTTAATCTGATCGTTTGCATGATGCGGGTGGTTGTATTTAAGGGTTGAAAATGAAAAAAAAAAAATTAATCGAGCGCGTCAGATTTTCTTAGGGAGTGTTAAGTGCACCAAAAAAAAGCTCTCATTCACTAATCTGACGATTTCGATGGGACGCAAACCCGCGGCCATTTTCATTATGTATATTGAAATACTCAAGCGCGTCAGATATATATGGTTCATCTTTATGTTCTAAACGTACTGTCTCATAATCTGACGATTATCTAGAGGGATTCGCCTGATCTGACAACAAAAAATTAGAAAAACGGTTCACCTTAAAGGCCATACCTGCAACTTCCCGCTAATTCCATTCCTGGGCGCTTAAAATTGTACTTATGACATTTTTGAGCTCAAAATATAATTTATGTGATATTTTGAGCTCGCTGAGTTCAAAGAAATAATATTTCTATGCATTTGAGCTCTCCCAGCTCGAAAGTCTGATAGAAGTTTCATAGAACACTATTTTTGGAATTTTCAAACCGCAATAACTTTTGAATGGATCCAGCAATTTTCACGCGGTTGGCGGCATTCGACGCAGTTTTATCATCCTCATAAGCAATTTTAATTGATCGAATTTCGGAGTAATCCCGAAAAAACACTTTTTCTGGTTTCTTTCGTTCACGATATCTCTCGAACGAATCAACCGCTTTTGACCAGCTTGGTGGCGGTCGACGTGCTTTTTCAAGCTCAAAGGCGGATTAGTTTTTGAAGTTGATCGATAAAGCCGGGTAAAAGTTATTACAAAAAAACCACTTTAAAAAAAAATCTTATTTTTTTTTGAGATTTTTCAAAATTTCTCAAAATCTATCGGTCCGAATCGGTTAAAATTCACAGGAAATGTAATTTTGAGGGAAATATTTAGAACGCCGTTTAGTAGATTCCGATCGGTTTAGTCGTTCAAAAGTTATAAACAGTATGCCACGAACGAGTCTTTATGATCAGCTGTGATGGCGTCATGGCAACAGAAACCAGAGTGGGGACGGAGTGAGAGAGTAATAGATAGAGAAAGAGTGAGAGAGGAATAGAAACGCGGAGAAGGAAATGTAGGCATCACGCAGCTGCACGCATTTAACTTTATCGACGAATTTTTGTTATTTCGGCTTGCGGAAATCGTCAATTGTATATTTTTCATTATTCTTGAATTATTTCCTTCAAAATAAAAAAAATTTTAGCTACGCTCGATAATGTCGAGATGACGTTTTTTTTTACAAC